ACAGAATGATCGAAATGCAGCTAAATGAACACATCAACGTGCGAAGTACGGATGACGGCGATGAGTCGTTTGTAGACGTCGTTTGCTTTGGTTGCACCGAAATCGCTGTGGCATTGAAATTGTGCGTCGACGTACCAATTTCTTGCATAGCAGTGAATACGAGGCGCGAGCTGGCAGCACTGTTAGACCCACAAGATTCGATGGGTCGTGACTGGAGGATATTAGCCGTCAAACTGGGACTGACCAGTCAACTGCCAGATGTTGACTGTAGCGGACCGCAGTTAAGCAAAACTGACCAGGTCTTGAATGAGTGGTCGCTGCAGAATCTGTCCAATGCAACTATTGGTGCCTTGCTTCGTTGTCTCAAAGAAATCGGTAGACAGGATGCAATCGACGTGCTCTGTCGCAGTGTACCACTGTACATGCTGTCAACGACGGCTGACGACACGCAAACGTTGAATGATTCGGGAGTCGCAAGCAGCAATTCTAGAAGCAACTATGGAACCCCTCAGCGTTCAGAATCGACGCTGTCAAATAACTAATCAGTTGTGATACCATTGTCTGTGTTATTTTCGTCGCTTAAAATGTTAATTTCATAATCTCAGACTTAAGCTATTCGTTTCACGCACGTACAAACGTATATCTGCGTGCATATGAACAACAAATGAAAGCTATTAATGCAGATCTGCGTGACCAAAGCTGATCAGCGACTTCAAAGTATGGGTTGCATGCCAGATGCTGATTTTTTTCTCACCTTTTGTGCACTAATCTTGCCATGAAACGTCGTTGGCCGTACTTCGAACCATTCGTGAATTAGCCGCCAATAGCTTGCTTGGCTGCGGAGGTCTGTTAGTACCGATTAATACTAACTGCATTGCGTACTTTCTTTCTACTAGATGTTCTGTTACTCACGGGGACAATTCCTGGCTCCACCGATTTTCTTTTGTAGGGCAGCTGACTTACGGCAATCTTCACTGAGAGGTTCATTAAATAAAGCTGTGATTAAATAAATAATTTCTAAGATTCATATCGATACCACGCCGTAGATTACTGGAAAGTGATAGGTTTTCTGACTCCGTGGTTGGCAGCACGAGAAACAAGAAGGCAGTTTTTTTAGAAAAATTCTTGTAACTCTTCTACAAAGCAGACCACCCACCGCCTCCGAGTTGCAAAAAAGAGCAGTCTATGAGTCCTAAAGTGCATCTCTCCAAAGAAGAGGACGTATTTCGGCGATGGAGATTATCTTGAGGAACCGCAGGAAGACTAGCCTGAAGAGCTGCAGGCAACGGTGTTAGTGTATGAAGTGAGAGAAGCTGTATAAGATTGAAGTGGCAAGGCTGCTGGAATTGATAAAATTCGCCTTGAAATGCTAATGGGTTTAAGTGAAGCAGGGAGGCATGTTGTGGCTAATGGGACTCCAATGTCTACGGAGAAGACTCCAGTGGACTTGAGAACGGGGTTATAGTACGCATGTTCGACGAAGGATGACAGGCAGAGTGGTCCAGTTATCGCAGCATCGCCCTGTTGAGTGTCCTGGGGAATAGTCTATGCTATGGTGATAGAAATGAGTTGTCGCTGGATAACTGTATTATACAAAAAAGCAATGTGACTTTAGTTCAGGCACTTCTAATCATACCTTCGCCTTACAATAAATTATTGAGAAATGGTTAGTTCGTTCATTTCGTTTACATGTACTTTGTTGATATTGAGAGAGGCTATGACCAGATCCCGCGCAATAGTCTGTGGTCATGCCTTCGAGCATACGGAATAGATGACCAGCTGCTAAGGGCCATCCAATTACTGTATTCTGATAGCAGGTGCTGCGTCAGAGTAAATGGCGTCAAATCGAAACCCTTCAACGTTGCCACTGGTCTCCGCAAAGGCTGCGTTCTGTCCCCTTTACTATTCGGATAGAATAGTGAGTCGCATCCCGGAGATGAGTGTTTCGGCGTAAGAGATGTTGCGACAAGAAGGTTGTTTGCAGAGGACCTTGTTTTGTTGGCATCTTCTGAAAGTGATGTTCAGCGCTCTGGACAGGTTCGTAGCCAAGTGCAACGAGGCACGTCATGGGTAGGAACGTATCTAAAAGAAAAGATCTAGTGCTTTCTTTTTCTGCTGCCCGTTGCGCTCTTCAGATAAATGAATATGCAATGGAGCAGGTCAGGAAGGTCAAATATCTGTTTGCTGGTGATTTAAAATTGGAGGAAGAAATCCACCGGCATATTGGAATTACCAGCAACATGGGCATTGACAGCAAAACTTCGAGCCATGGGAAACTAGCCGACTTATAGTGTCGCACATAATTATCATGCTTTAATTTTGATTTGTAATCCTTGCTTAATTAATGCATAATTAAGTGACCTCAATGTTCGGTGTACCCTCGTGGTTCGAAACAAAGTTTACTAGTCTTTATTGCTGAAGTAAATTCATTTCGATGTTTTCATCGTGAGCATCGGTTGTCGACTTCGTTGCTGAACGAAACAGGAGGTGCGCATTGAATTACCTTACCCCGAACCTTGACCACAAGGTGATTCCTGTGTGCAGCAATACGAGTTAATAATATTCTGTGTAATTCTGAGAACTTATCGCACAAAACTTATGAAGCGGCTGGCAGGCAACAGTGAAAAGAACTCCACTTTTGGCAATGAGCCTTGCATCTGTGCTACTTAACAACTGCCAGTCGATCCTACAAAAGTTCGATTACTTACCGACGCTACCCAATCTGCAGCCGTATTGAAACACTTACACATTCTTAGCTCTGGAATCGTGGCTATCAAAAGCTGTGCTGGATGAAATAGTTGCTATAGAAAATTTCGACCTTTACCGATTTGATCAGCGGCAAAAATTAAATCCGCGGTGGTATCGTTTTCTGCAGCAACAAAGCATAAACTAAGGCATCGTCCAAGTGATATAGGTTTGTTGAAGAACTGCATTGTCTGTTTATCAAATACAGACCCGGTTTCTTGCTGGTGTTCAGTAGCGTCTCTTGATTGGTAAATCCCGCCCGGCTGTGCAAAAGTAATATCCGACAGGTTCGAGGATGAGCTTGTTTTAAGTTGTGCGCAGCACTGAACAACAGTCTATTCATGATGATAGGCGATTTCAGTTGGCGTCACAAGCTACCTCAAAGGTCTAGTTGTCATGAATTTATCTAACTTGACTATGCGCAACGACTCAAAATTGGACTGTGCAATGGTGAATAACAGCAAATGTACTGTTCGTGCCTAGCTTCACTTGAGTTAACAGATCAGTGCAATTTTTGACTGATCCAAAAGGCTTGCGCTAAATGACGCAATTTCTTTCGCCAGAAACGCCGCGCCATCAATCAGTGTCAACGATGTCCTGAAAACAGAACGATTTCACAATTTCTTGGAACGGACGGAAGGAGCAGCATTTCACGATGCTGGCATAAATAATTAGCTTAGCGTCGTGACAGCTTACATTCAATACCAACACGACACCTGCTATTTCAGAAATATTACGTTAGAAACACGTACTTTGAAATTGTCTGTTAGAGCGACAGAGAAAGCGTACAGAACGGTCGAATCACTAAGAATAACGAATGAAAAAATTACAACTATTGAAAAAGCAGTTTGCAGACAGCTTACTGGTCTCACGAGCCGCAAAAAATAGCAGGCAATCAATAAAAACTGCAACCGCCTTAGGCATCACTACCCTCCAGACGTAAGTCCGACGAAATAACTTCTTGCGACTGGAAATTCACAGACCATCGGCCACTGCTGGTGGAAGCTTCTTTCGAAATCGTGCTGTATGAATCTGAGGTCCGCAGCTATCTTGCAGTAATTAGATCCACAAGAGCCACAGAACCTGATAACATCCTATCAATCGTTTTAAAGTTTGGTGCAGAGTCTGTTGGTGCCATTAACGGAAAACTGACCGGTGCAGCAACAACAGCGTTCTTTCATGAATGGGTAAAGTTCCGGATTATTCCAGTGTCGAAACAACGGAATCCACAAATACTCAATGGCTGGATGCAGACCTCCGTCTCCTCGGTTGTACTTACATACTACGAACGGTTGCTGCCCCATATCCGATCATACATCTAGAAACATTTCTACCAGTTACTCGATCAGCGCTCAACTTCTCATGCGATTACAACCAGAACTAATTGTATGGCAAATGACCTAAACGATGGTTCGTTCAACTTTGAGATCCATTTACAACAGTGTCAAGTAACCATATAATCGAAATTTTAGCGTCGACTATATAAAAGCAGTGAATCCTCGAACTGTGCTTGCATATGCAGATTTTAAGGATAGATGCAATAACCCTTCAGCAATGCACGCTAGCGAGGAGCATTCGGGCATGCGCGAAACTTACGAATATGACACTGCTTGCTATATTGATTCGCGTCCGGTAAGTGTCATTGGACCATCTGTGCAGAATTAATGTCCAAGAGCAGAAAAATTTGCGCGTAGCATTTGCACTGCAAACAGCAACCAGACGAAACTCATTAGAATACAAATCAATCATGTAAAAGGTAATTCCGCAGTCATCCCTAAAGAATTCATCCATGCGATACACAAATTACTAATGTATCCCACTATTTCTGAAAACACTTTAAAAAGCTGCATTCGTATGCCATAAAATAATGCATTATTCGTATTCGAACATTCAATTATCGGGGCATCAAATGCTCCCATGTACCTAATTGAGCGAAGTCGCCCTGAAAACGCGAAGACAAACAATCACCACAGAGCCAAACCTCGAGATCATTACCAACAAACACCACCTACACGCGAACACTGCAATATGGTAACGCCAGATTCCTGCTAGAAATAAACGCATCATACTGCTGGAGAGAAGTAATCCACATGCACAAATAACTTCAACTAATGGACCGAAACAAAACTTTCCGTATCGTCAATAAAGCATGCTATTTGTAGCCACAAGCATGTTGTAGATTTTCTTTCGATCTGTAAGTCTATACGGTGTTGTAACTATTAAAATGAACTTTGCATAGAACTTTTCTAACAGAATATTTCACATCTAGAGCAACTGATATGCCCGCAAACTTTATTTCCAACGTCAATAAGTTAAGAAAAACAAGTTTCAAAACGCGCCAAATTTACAAGAAACGATCTTGAAATACAACGATTAACAAAGCCGCTTCTTGTTCTCATCTATCGATGCGAAGACTGCTGCTGGATGTATTTTCGACCAGCCGCACTCGAACGGACGCTAAAAACAAAGACAATTTTTATATCACCACTGGCTGACACTAGCTCTAAAAAGTAGCTATCTTGACCGCAGCAATAGGTTAATTTCAAATCATGACGGTTAGTTGCGATGCGCTGCCGGGAAGCCAGTGCTTTGTTGTTAGCATGAAAACAACAACAAAATCACTAGTCTTCCATACAGAACAGCAGAATTAGTATTAGCATACCAAAAAAACTGATAGAGACCAGGAAACAAAAACCGTGAAAACAGAATACTTGACCTCCACAAAGTCATGCAAAAATGATGATTCATAAAGCTTAACAGACAAAACAACCAAGGTTGCAGAACAGTAAATAAAAAATTTTGATGCTTCTTACCACTGTTGTAGCAGGTACTGACCGACCTTGATCTGGTTTGGATTTCCAGTGATAGTAATGATTCGCTCAGAAGAGTCTGGAGCAGGTGGATCAACAACAATCTGTGCGCCAGAATCTTCGCGAATACGGTTAATCCGTTCTCCACCTTTACCAATAATGGTCCCGGCAAGCTCTTTTGGGATCGTAACTTGTATCGTCTAAAGAAGGAGAATATAAAATTACTCAATTAGGCAAAATATAGCTTAGCATCTGTACCATAGGTCCTGGAGGCCCTCGGCTATGAGGACCACTCATTGGACCCATATCCATCGGCCGGTAGGAATCATTTAACAGACTGGAGTCGAACTTATTTGCGTATCCACCACCGTAACGCCCAGGCGGACCTCTGCTACTTACAGTTCGCCCAGACGGCGGACCGCGAAAGTTTCTGTCTGGCGGATATCCGCCATATTCGTACACACAAGTTGGATCATAATTAATAGTATCATAAGGTTTGCATGATCCTTTGGTTGGTGTCTGAAATTGAGTTGAAAGCGATACTTTATCGAGTATTTATAAGGCGCACGTACATCGCTACAGATCTTCAAAATCTCTTTGACGGCGCTCACCACTTTGTCTGGCTCGCCGTTGATTTGTATTATTCTGTCGGTAGATAACGGAGCGCATTCCGAGTACACTTTGATACTCGTTCCTGTTGACTGAAAGATAAATCATATCATGCTTAATACTAAAATTACAATTATTACATAAACGTATGCGAATTGTACTCAACATAGAAAAATGTTTTCATATAAAAAAAATCAAAGCTCAATAGGACTAATGAACGCTTCTACGGCTGTCTTACGGTTCGAAGTATTATCTTACAACCCTTAAAATGGCTATTAGCAACTTAGCTACCTACTCTAAAGCTGGACAGAAATGCCAAATCGTGCAATATAGTGTCAAATACTAAATGGCGTCAAATCACCAAAAATAATATGTAAAAAAACTACAAAAATACATCACGTAGTTCTTTGATTTTGAACCCCGCACGGCCGATAATTGCTCCTGCTTGGCTCTGATGCACTAAAATCCTTAGCTCCATTTCATCGCGACCGCTTTTGTTCTAAAACAAATCAGTTCAACAGCAATTAATATAGTGAAAATTGAATATAGCGAACAACTATCAACAGTAGGACATCATTACTTCAATTATAATAGCTTATTCGTCAGTCTAATGAAAAAATGCACTATCAAAAAACACTAACTGACAAGCAGAGTTCAGCTAATAGCACTACTGCATTTTAATGTACGGTGAAATATAACATACGGTGTATAGACTGCACATACGTTAACTCGTTTACTCAAGAAGAATATCTTTTTAGAGATTTCAAATACAATGTCCTGAATTGCGTAAAGTTATTCATTCTCTAAACTTTCTCCGTATAAGTAGGGTGAGCAGTGGCGCAATGTGTTTGTAGGTTGCTTGACACGTTAATGTCAGGTTGAAACATAGCACGCGGTATTAACTCTCTTACTAACCACTAATTAAATTGAGCAAGGAATACATCCAGTGGTGCAACCAGCGAAAAAAATGTTAAATGC